AGGAATGATTTGAGATTCCCTCTGAGCACAAATGAGCAAAAAGCCCTGGAGAAGCTGATCTGCCCCAAGTTTGCCTGGTGCCCTTGTTTGCTGAAGAGCTGAAGCAGCTGCAGCAGAAACTGGGAGTTCCCAGGGAAGGCTGAACCCTGGGGGCTTTGGGGGAGCCTGAGCTCATGAGGCACCTCCAACCACCCCAAGGTGTCACTGGGGTGGCCTCTGTGCTCCTCAGGCTGGAATCCTGTGAGGAGCTCTTGGCCTCAGAGGGACCCTCTGCAGGGGGGGAAGAGAAGCCCAGGGTTGGGATTTCAAGTGTCCCAGCAGCCTCAGTAGGTGTTACAGAAATCCAAGGGGACCTTGAAGTGTTGCTGCTTAATTCCTGTGGTCAGATGGATTTAATTGTTCCAGGTCCTGTGTGTACAAGGTGTCCAGGAGGTTCATGTTGGTTCCTTCCAGCTGTAACCACTGTCCTCACATGCTGCCTCCTCCTACTTCTCATCCTCCTTCTCCCTCTCATGCATTTGTCTCCTGCTTCATCCTCTTCATTCTTTTGTCTTTTACTTCCTTCTTCTCCTCCTCATGCTGTGGTCTCCTTCTCCTCTTTCTTCTTCTCCTGCTCCTCTACATCCTCCTCCTTTTCCTGCTGTGTCACTGTTGCCTGTTGTTCCATCCCCTGGTTCTCCTGCTTCTCTTCCCTCTCCTCCTGCTCCTCCTCATCATGCTGTTGTCTCCTTCTGCCTCCTCCTCATTCTACAGCTCCTCCTTGTCCTCCTTTTCATGCTGTGTCATTCTGCTGCCTTGTCCTCCTCCTTTACTCCTCATCCTCTATGTGCTTTTGTCTCCTGCTTCTTCCTCCTCCTCATCCTGTTGCCTCCTCCTCCTCCCTGCTGGTCATGCTGTTGTCTTCTGCTGCCTCCTCCTTCTCATTTTCCTCCTGCTGTTCCTCCTTCTCCACCTCTTCCTCATGCTGTTGTCTCCTCCTCTCTCTCTCTTCCTCCTCTTCATCCTCCTCCCACCTTCATGTTCTTGTATCCTGTGATTAGAAGCATTTCCTGGTGGGTGTTGAACTTCACCCACTGCTACCCCAGGGTGTTGCTCTGAAGCTGGAGGTGGATCTCCAGGCTTGAATTCTTCTTTCCTTCTTGCCCCAGATGATACAGATGACCCAATGGAAATGAAGGTAAAACGTGACCACTCTGAAGAAAATGTATCGAGAGGAAAAGTGACCAGGATGGGAGAACAAACAGAGGTCCCATCAGGGATTGCCCCTGGGGAGCCAAAAAGTGGTCAAGGGGGAGACCCAGAGGAGAGTTGAGCTGTGCAAGATCTACTGGGTCCCTTGCCCTGCAGATCATGGAATCATGGAATGGTTTGGGATGGAAGGGACCTTAAAGATCATCCAGTTCCAACCCCCTGCAACCTCTCCCACCAGCCCAGGCTGCTCCAAGCCCCATCCAACCTGCCCTTCAACACCCCCAGGGATGGGGCAGCCACAGCTTCCCTGGGCAACCTGGGCCAGGCTCTCACCACCCTCACAGTCAATAATTTCCTCCCCATGTCCAGTCTGGGCAGAGAAGTATCAGTTGAACATCTGCACATGAGTCTGATCCCACATGAGTGTCAGAGTGTGATTGTCTTGTCTGGTAGAGACAGAGGGTTAGAGATGTTCAGAGATGGGTTTTAGGTTCAGAGTTTCTGCTGCCAGTGCCCAGTGTGGGGAGACAGAGCAGAACACACCCCTAGTCCTCTAAGATCCCCTCTCAGCCTTGTCTTCTCCAGACTAAGCAGCCCCAGGTCTCTCAGCATTTCCTCAGCAGACAGATGTTCCAGGCTCTTCATCATCCCTGGGGCTCAGCCATTGCAGCCCCATTTCATAGACCTTGTTTCCTTAATTAGCACTGATGAGGAAACATGATTGAGTCACAGAACTGAGCAGCTGGAGCAGATCTTGCCCCTCAACCTGGGTCATGATCTCACTTGTCTCCATCTCAGCTCTTTTGGGATGCAAACCAGGCTTTGTTGGGGAGTTCCTAGTGGTGTTTGACACCACTTCCCACAGAGGTGGGTCCTGGAGGCTGGTCCCTCACAAGAACATTGCAAGAAGTGTCCCTCAGTCAGGGCTGGGTCACAACTTCCTTCAGCCCAGCTCTTCTCCCTGGCTCATTCCTCTTGGATGGTTGGGTAGATACAACTTCTATCATGTAGCTCCTGTGAAAAAATTCACCCTTCCATGGGAGTGTCTCATCATGGAGGTTCACAAGGTTGGATCAGTCAATGATCTTTGTTAGGGGTGGATCAGAGTGGGGTTTGGTTTTTAAAGAAAGCTCCTGGTTTTGTTTTTTTAAAGAAATAAAAAGAATTTCTGATGTGAGAAATGAAAGGTCTCTGGAATCATCTGTTGTCACAACTGGCAGCTGTGGGTCCTCGATGGTGGTGGCAAGACCAGTCCAGCAGCAACCCAGGGCACCCAACCTCCTTCACTTGGAAAGCACCCATGGAGCCAGAGCAGAAGCAGCACAGGACCCACCTGCACTGGGTGGAGGCCAAAAGCTGCTCAGGGCAGCCTCTCCCAGCCCTGCTGGTGACCTGCAGGACCTGCTGGGGAGGTGTGTGATGGAGCAGAGCTGGGGCACTGCCTTCTCCAGTAAACACAGACACTTCCAGGACTGTCAGAGCCACCTGGGAGGTTGCTCACACCTTCCTGCTGCCCCTTCGAGCTCCTGGAGGAGCTGATGTTGCTCAACATTTGAGCTCTTCAGCAAACCAAATGAATAGCAAGGAGGAGCAGAGTGGGAGGCAGTTCCTGAGCCCTTGATGAGGAGGCCAAGGCAGTGGTGGTGACTCTGGGCAGGGTGACTGCTGCTCTGAAGCCTCCTTGGCATCCAGCATCTCCTTCATTGGGTTCCTTCCTGCCATCAAAGGGCCTGGTTGCATCTCCACCTGCAGTGCTGGAGCCCAGGGCAAGTGGCCACAGGAATGTGAAACTGGTTCTTGCCTCGTGTTTCAAGGTGTGGTCATTGCCATCAAGCCTGAAATGGGCTGGTCTTTGGTTACCTAAACCTCATCTACCTTGGAGAGCTTTGTCAGCTGAGCTTCCCTGTGAGCCCTGGGAACCACCTGCTCCCAGGAGACAGAACCATCAGCAGCTGTGGGAGCATGGGATGGTTTGGGTTGGGAGGGACCTTCAAGATCATCCAGTCCCACCCCCTGCATGGGCAGGGACACCTCCCACCAGCCCAGGCTGCTCCAAGCCCCATCCAACCTGCCCTTCAACACTGCCAGGGATGGGGCAGCCACAGCTTCCCTGGGCAACCTGGGCCAGGCTCTCACCACCCTCACACCAAAGAATTCCCTCCTCATCTCCAACCTCCATCTCCCTCTCCCACTTTTCATCCATCCCCCTCATCCCATCCCTCCCTGCCCTTGTCCCAAGTCCCTCCCCAGCTTTCCTTGAGGCACCTGTAGGAGATGAGTGATGGTGTCTCTGTGAGGCACAGGACGTGGTGGTACCTCAACCTGCCTCCTCTTAAGAGCATCTCTTGCACCAGGGGAGGTGCCTGATGATGATTGATCTTCTCTGACATGTTTTTGTTGCCAGTCCCACCCCTCCCTTGGCTCCCTCACTCCTCTCCAATGTGCAACAAGCTGCTCTGCATGTCCAGGTGATATTTTTCCTCATTCTTCCTTCTTGAGGAGGATGATCCATTGAAGTTTACATTTTGGGAGTTGTCAGTTGGGGCTTCAGGTGTCTCTTCTGACCTCATTTCCTTTGGTTTCTGCCCCAGTTGATGCTGTGGTGAATCAGGCCATAAGTAGGTGGCCAAATGAGGTCATCTGCTTGCCTGTGGTGACTCCTGTTTTGGGAGGGGCCTTTCCCAACCAGATGTAGAGTTTTCAGAGCTGCTTTAACCTTCTGACACCAGGGGATTTGAGGAGACAGTTTCCTTCCTTGCTGTTGAAGAACCTTCTCTGCTCCTACTGTTGGTTTGGTCAACTTGACTTGGTTGGCTTAAAGGACTGAAGTCACTGGCTGGAAACAGGAGCTGCCCTGTCACCTTATCCTGGAGGATTCCTCCCTGGATGGTCATGGGTGGGTCTTTGCCAGGGGTGACAGCAGAGGGCAGTTCCATGTCTCACCCCAGGTCATCTCCAAACCCTGCCTGGGAAGGGCTGCAGCATTTGGCTCCCAAACCTCTTCCCACCCCCAAAGCAGGAAGTGCAAACAGTCCCAGCTGGATGAGACCCACCCAGTGAAGAGCCAACAGGGAGATGTTTGGTGCAAGCCTGGAGCTGAGCTGGATGTCACCTGTCCATGCTTCCTGTGGGTGATGCTTTGGGGATGAGTCCCAGCACCACAAGCCCCAGGCAGCTCCAGCTGCAGGGCTGGGTTCCTCTGGGGTCACACCTGAACCTTCACAGCCTGGGGAGCCTGAAGAGCAACCTGCCTGTTCCCCAGTGACCACTGTCTTGTTTTGGATGGAGGTTTAGAGGAGAAACAGCTGGTTTCTAGGCTGGTTGGGTTCTCCTGGAGAACTAAGCCATGATCCAATCAACCCATCCAATCAGGAGTGACTGGAGAGGATGCAGGATGGTCTCACCTAAGCTCCCTTCCCCATGAAAGGCTGGACCAGATGAGCTTTGGAGGTCCCTTCTAACCTGGGCTGTTCCATGAGGTATGAGTGATGATTTCTGCAGCTGATGGGAGGAGCTTTGAGCATAAAAATTAGATGTAAAAAACGTTCTGAGGTTTAATCTCTGAAAATTCTGGTGTCTGATTTAAACCCAAATCAGCAAGTTCACTGGTGGTGCCAAACTGGGAGGGGTGGTGACACCCCAGGGGGCTGTGCTGCCAGAGACCTGGGCAGGCTGGAACCTCATCAGATTCAACCAGGGCAAGTGGAGGGTCCTGCAGGTCAGGAGGGAGAGCCCCATGGATCAGCAGAGGTGAGGGATGGACCTGCTGGGAAGGAGCTCTGAGAAGCATCTGGGAGTTACAATCAGTGAACAATGAGCCAGCAAAGTGTCCTTGTGGCCAACGAGGGCCAATGGGATCTTGGGGTGCATGAGGAAGAGTGTGGCCAGTAGGTTGAGGGAGGTTCATCCTCCCCCTCTGCCCTGGTGAGGTGGAGAACTGGGACCAGTTCTGGGCTCCCCAGTTCAAGAGAGACAGGGAACTGCTGGAGAGAGTCCAGGGGAGGGGAACAAAGATGATTGGGGGGTTGGAACCTCTTCCTGATGAGGAAAGGCTGGGAGAGCTGGGGCTGTTCAGCTGGAGAGGAGGAGACTGAGGGGGGATCTCATCAACCCTCCTCAATATCTCCAGGGGGTGTCAGCAGGATGGGGCCAGACTCTTCCCAGCAGTGCCCAGGGACAGGACAAGGGGCAATGGGCACAAACTGGAGCACAGGAGGTTCCAGCTGAACATGAGGAGGAACTTGTTGGCTGTGAGGGTGGCAGAGCCCTGGGACAGGCTGCCCAGGGAGGTGCTGGAGTCTCCTTCTCTGGAGACATCCCAACCCCTCTGGATGTGTTCCTGTGGGATCTGCTGTAGGTGACCCTGCTCTACAGGAGGGTTGGACTAGATGATCTCCAGAGGTCCCTTCCAACCCTGATGACTCTGGGACTCACAGGAGCAAAAAATAAGTTGAAATGGAAGTGGGGATCCTGCTCTAGATCATCTCTGGAGGTTCCTTCCAACCCCGACGAGTCTGTGATTCCATGTCACCCTTTCCCAAATCTGGACTCTGAGAACACAAAGATCTGTATCCTCATTTCTTTAGTGATATTCCACTGAAAAATGGCATCTCCCTTATTTCTCAGTGAGACTTCAGACTTCTAAGTAGTTACTGGGTTAATTAGCAGGAGCTAATGACCCTCCTCTGTGTGGGGGGCAGAGGAGTGTTGAAATTGTGGCTTTTGGGTGAGATATTCTCCCCTTGTGCCCTGAATGATCCTCTCAAAATTTTAGCTTCCCCCTCTCTCTAGTCTTAATTATTCTTCAATCCTGGAACTTTCCGTGCTTCCTCTCATTAGAAAAGATGTCAATTAATTGAGTTTTTTAATGAGCCATTCAGTTGTGTTTACCAGCACTGGTTGGGGGCTGAGCTGCTGGAGAGCAGGGGAAGAGAAAGGGCCCTGGGGGTCCTGGTGGGCAGGAGGACCATGACCAGCAATGTGCCCTGGTGGCCAGGAAGGCCAATGGATCCTGGGGTGGGTTAGAAAGGGGTGGTTGGTAGGTCAGGGAGGTTCTGCTCCCCCTCTGTGCTGCCTTGGTGAGGCCACATCTGGAATGTTGTGTCCAGTTCTGGGCCCCTC